GGTTAGGATCAAATATTTGATATTCGATATAAAATAAGAATTTTATTTTGTCATATTCTCTTCATGTGCTCTGTCATGACTCCATACACGGTAATAGTTGCACCCTATATCCTTTTGATTTCTATATAAAGAGTGGTGATGATTCTGATTTTACTTGTCATAGAAGCATAAAGTGTGAAAAGGACATAGTGCTTGCAAGTTAGGTTTTTCAGTTGCTAACCTCGAATCAGCGGGAGCATTTTTTGTGTCGTATCATTGGCAACAATTTTTTTAACGTTCTGTCATATTCAATAAATGGTGCATAAGGCGGTTTCACATTTAAGTATGGTCATTGTGTCCTTTTACATTAAGTATGAGTTTAAATATCACGTTGACACTAGTTTCAAGTCTTTGAGCTCAGGATTCAAAATAACATTATTCTGTACCAGCGATACAACCGGCTTTGTTATCCTGAGATTAGTCTATTTTTAGATCATGTTTGGCTAAGGTTAAATGTAGGTACTTACGTAAATTATTGTTTCTTAAAACCAGGGGAAGCTTGCCCTTGACCTTCTGAAGGACAAGTTGATATGCAATATTTAGAATCTACCTACAAAAATTCTGGTCCCTGTTTATCAATAATTAATAGGGCTGGTTCATTTTGCACTTGTTGTTCAATGATTACTCAGTTTCGTTTTACAGTCAGTTTTTGTCTTTCTTAAAAGATCCTCGAGTTCAATCAGTACAAGATAATTTAATTTAAATTATTGCCAAATTTCTTTTAGGGGCTGGTATAATCTCGAGGCATCAAAAAGACTAAAAATTTTTCGTTGCGGGGAGTTCGATTCATGCATTGAGAAAGCTAAGGTGTCCACATCATCAAAGAAGACGGGGAAATATGCTCATAGAGGTGATGCCATTGTTCATGCACTTAAGATCGAAAGTGCTTGTATTCAAAATCACCACCCAGAAGACTTGGCTTATTGATCCCATTTATAGACTTGGCTTATCTCCATGGTTTTTGCATGTAGTTTGCATATTGATGCCT